AACATCAAAGTTGCTGACACACGCCTTTTGCTCAGGATGGCTCTCTCTCCTTCCACACAACTGATGTGGCCTAAAGAGCAGATTGGCTCCCTGCCCTCAGGTAACCCTGGATGGGAAAATGAAATTACCTAACAATTAGGCTTGTCATCAAGAGTGAACTTAATGCTGCAAATAAGATCAAAGCCATCAACATTTTAGCTGTTCCAACAGTTACATTAAGTTTTAATATCATCAACTGGCAACTTAAAGAAGTAAAGAAACTAGACACCAAGACCAGCAAATTGCTGACTTCTGAAAGAAGGCACCACCCAAAGGCAGATGTTGAAAGAATGTATCTACCAAGACAGATTGGAGGCAGAGGACTTAGCCAACTTGAGATGGCTTACAAAAAACAATGGCATTGAAAACCTACCTTGAAACAACTGACGATGCCCTGCTGATCCTCGTTTGTCAACATGAAGCTCGCAAGAAGCTGTACTCTGTTACAAAAGAAGCTATAAGATATGCACAGGAACTAAACATCCCAGATGTGGCAAGAAAAGAGAAAGAAACAGTAACAAGCTTTGCCAAGAGGACCAAAAGGGAGGCAAAGAAATGGGCCCAAAAGAGGATGAGAGAAACATGGGAGGAAAGAAGATGTCAATCTGTACATTATGGAAATAAACAATGCTCTGGTCGGCAGCCATGCTGAAAAGGCTCACTAAAACACACACAAACATCTCCATATCGCTCTTATAACGTCAGATCGCACGGCCCTAGTTTACGACCCATCCCTCTCCAACAGGTCAAGAAGACAAATGTTCTCCAGGATTCAGTTCAGTGTGCCCTGTTCAATGCCCGCTCCATTTCAAACAAATTCTTTATTTTAAATGATCTGTTCATCAGAGAAAAGTTGGACTATTTATTTCTTACGGAGACAAGGCAGCAAGATGAAAATCATGTACACTTCAAGGAAATTTGTCCACCACATAGCTCTGTGTTTACCACACCACGCCTGTCACATCGTGGTGGAGGTCTTGCTGTGGTCTTTGTGTGAACGTTACCATGTTTACTTGTGCAGAAACATTCTGGCCGTCTGTCCGGTTGTCTGATTTTACTGGAGTCAGAATCTGATATCTGCTACATAAATCCATCCATCCATCCATCCATCCATCCATCATTCCATTCAGTTATCTATCCATCCAACTAACCATCCATCCATCCATCGATCCATCCATCCATCCATTCATTTATCGATCGATCGATCCATCCATCCATCCATCCATCTATCCATCCATCCATCCATCCACCCATCCAACCATTCATTTATCGATCCATCCATCCATCCATCCATCCAACCATTCATTTATCGATTGATCCATCCATCCATCCATCCATCCATCCATCCATCCATCCATCCATCCATTCAACCATTCATTTATCTATCCATCCAACTAACCATCCATCCAACCATTCAACCCTCCATCCATCTAGCGATGGGTACCGAATTCGGCACTTTTCAAGGTACCGACCCAATTCCATAGTACCGACTGAGCACCGATTCACATCATTTGAAACGGTGCCTCGTTTCGGTACCCGTCTTTCATAACGAGAACTTGCCTAGACAGCTGTGCATGCGCAACAGTGTTACGTCGGTCGCTGCGAGCCAGTTGTAAACAGAGCAGCATGGTAGAAAGAACGCACGCTAAAGCTCGGGTCCACTTCACTAAATGTGATGGGTAACTGGGTAACTATGAAACTAGCGACAACGACCTAAGTGAGACATCCTCATCTTAATCTGCTCCGGTAGGTAAATAAAATGTTTAGGATAACGTTAGCTTGATAAGTTAGCTTCTGTTTCGCTAATGGTGCATTTGCTTTCTCCTCTGAACTCCGAATTTCCGACTAGAAGAACATGAATGCGCTCTAAAGTTTGGCTTCACTTTACTAAATGCGACGGGTGAAGATGAAACCAGTGACAACGATCTAAGTGTGAGGCATCATCGTTTTAATCTGCTCCAGCAGCTAAATAAACTGTTTAAGATAACGTTAGCTTGATATGTTAGCTTCCATTGCCACCATTGTTATCAACTAATGGTGCGTTCGCTTTCTCCTCGGAAATTCTAACTTCCCAGTAGGAAAAAGCAAAAGAAAAAGGACGGCAAAAGGAATGAAGATACACAGTAAATTTAGTTCACAGTAAAGATGTTTGCTTCAGTTTAATTATCAGCTTATAAAACTACAAGGACGATGTTAAAATACAAACTGTTGTATGTTATTTATCGTGATATTTATCAAATATGGTTATATATTGAGAAAAATATATATTTAATTATAAAAGAGAATTAAAATATTAAACACTCAAAAGTATCTAAAAGTGGTACCGTTAAGTACCGGTATCAATTCCTAGGTACCGGGAATTAGTACAGAATCGTCTTGGGTGTGTTCTTGCTGTGTCTTTGTAAATCCATGCTTTCGTTCTTTTTTAAACACAGAAACAGTTTTGTTTACCTGTTTGTAGCTACGGTTTCGCCGACAGCTGCCGGCTTCTTCAGGCTGACGCTGATGGTCAATATGTTTAAAAAAGAACGAAAGCATGGATAGTACAGAATCGATTCAAATGTCAAAGGTACCCATCCCTACATCCATCTAACCATTCATCCATCTGTAACGTCCAGCAATGGTCAGTTTTCACCTACAGATTGGCCTTCATGCCACCGGTCATCTGCTGACATAAATTCCATTCTCTAAAGTGGATTTTACATCCTAGCTTCCAACAAACCCAGAAGGATACTGCAGCCTTGTTGACATTTCAGGAGGAATAAGATGTCAGGCTGTGTTCCCAAACAAAGCCATCTTTTGATAACACTGCAGGATTGCTCACTCTCTGAATAAAGTGACTATTTTAAGCTCATATGAGGTAATCGATCATGAAATGAAATGAACAAATGTTAAATGAATGAAAATAATGTCTTGATTAATCTGTGCTTAAATTAATAAGGTTGATTAATCTGTGCTTGAATTGCTGAAGTTTGAAATGAATGTTTTTATTACATTGAAACATATTTTGTATGTTCTTGCTGTGTTTGTCTTTAAATTCCATTTTTGGCTCTTTTTTAAACACAGATAAGGTTTTTCTTTACCTTGCTGACGTTTCGGTTGCGGCTGCAAACATATTCGGAGCTGACGCTCAAAAATGGAATTACACTGAAAGATTTATATATATGATGATCAGTAATGTCTGATATGACAAGTGAATCATTATCTACACTCAGACACAAGGTTCATTAGAGATAAATTAAAGTTAAGTAAAACGTCATCACACAGATATTTTCTTAGCCACAAATCAGAGAATCCTGTATCTGAAAGAAGACGTGATGTTCTGAGGGTTTGTTGTTAACACCCCTTAACATGGCACGTCCCGGTTGGCCAAGAAATCATAATATGAGAATATTAAAACAGAGCTCACTTGACGGTGAGTCAGTTCTAGAGAAATCTACGGATAGGCCATCCGGAGCGAACCCTCTTTAACCCAGAGCATTTTTGACAAGCTGTCAAAAACCCTGCTACACGCTGAAGCTGACACAGCAAACGGTTCCTGCAGAACAAAGCTGATACAGTTCCGACTCCTTAAGAGTCCTTCTAGACGCAAACTAGTTCCAACCTGTATGCCTGGCGACATCTCTGAACTGGAGAAGTCTGTACTGCGGTCAGTCTACTGGACCTGGGTGCCCAGAGGTCATCTGACCTCCCTGACCTCCGGATCCGCGAAGAGGGTCTCCAAAAAGGGTGAGGTAGAACACAGTATGATTGCGTCTGATGCCATTTTGATAAGAACCAACTTCATAGCTTAATGCAAACTTTTCACGCCCAGAACTCAGTTCTTCTAGATACAAGGTTCTGATGAACACACACCATTCAATCACCACACATCACATCCCATCCACTTAGACTCATCCATCACAGTAGCTTTGGTTAACTGCTTTATTTGTTTAGAAAATAAATTTCTTATCTTTTATAAACATGACTCTGTCTGAATTGATACGAAGTGTGTTTGATCGCTGGAAAAAGCAAAGAATCCTAGAATCTTCTGATTAAACATCCAAAGACCAAGCATGTTGATATTCTATATTTATATAGAATATTACATCTTATTGGTCATAAGTAAAGGTAATATATTAAGCTTAAACGCAACAATATTTACCTTCTACACATCCATCTAACCATCCATTCATCCACCTAACCATCCATCCAACCATTCAACCATCCATCCATCTAACCATTCATCCCTCCATCTAACCATCCATTCATCCATCTAACCATCCATTCATCCACCTAACCATCCATCCAACCATTCAACCATCCATCCATCTGACCATTGATCCTTCCATCTAACATCCACTCATCAATCTAACCATCCATTCATCCACCTAACCATCCATCCAACCATTCAACCATCCATCCATCTGACCATTGATCCTTCCATCTAACACCCATTCATCAATCTAACCATCCATTCATCCACCTAACCATCCATCCAACCATTCAACCACCCATCCATCTAACCATTCATCCCTCAATCTAACCATCCATTCATCCACCTAACCATCCATTCATCCACCTAACCATCCATCCAACCATTCAACCATCCATCCATCTGACCATTGATCCTTCCATCTAACATCCATTCATCAATCTAACCATCCATTCATCCACCTAACCATCCATCCAACCATTCAACCATCCATCCATCTGACCATTGATCCTTCCATCTAACATCCATTCATCAATCTAACCATCCATTCATCCACCTAACCATCCATCCAACCACCCATCCATCTAACCATTCATCCATCTAACCTTCCATCCATCCAACTATCCATCCATCCATCTAACTATCCATCCAACCATGCAACCATCCTTCCATCTATCTAACCATCCATTCATTCACCTAACCATCCATCCAACCATTCAACCATCCATCCATCCATCCATCCATCCATCCATCCATCCATTCCTACCTTTTTTGCTTCTTCCATCTTTTTTACCTGTAAAAGAAAAGAAACTGAGAGTGACTGGTGCTAAAGGAACCCACCACAATAACGTAGATATCAGCTCACAGACTTTATGCATTAGACTAAATATTTTCTAGACTTAATGCAGATGTTTGAGTTTCAAAGCAAAGTGGTTGTGTTTCTATAAACCTTTGCAGGCCTTCATTTTTCCCTCTACATTTTTGAAAGTGACAGTGTGTATTTTCCCTGGTGATAGTGGGCAGTACATACCTAAATCATTGCAAGCAAGCAGTACTTTTGTGTTCAAATAAAACCTTACCATCGGATGGCCATTAAGGTAAAAAATCCCTGGGAGCACAACCTCCAGCAAAATGACAAGAACATTAGACTCCCTTTCATCTCTGGCAATGAGTGAAGAGTTAAATGTGTAAAACAAAATGCTTACTATTGGTGAAAGTTTTGTAACTATTTGTTACAAATCAGTAAATGCATTCTGTCCTAACGGGCTTCCGTAGAAGGAAACATGACATCCAATATGGCGTCCCCTAGACACTCACACCCACTCCCATGTATTTTATAACAGAACTTTATGGTTTTATGTTATGATACCGCCAATATTTTTCAACAACTGTTCATCTTTTATTCATTTACAACAACATTTCAATGAATATTTACATAGATTAATGGTAAAAACTGCACATTGTCACTTTAAAGGATAAACATTTTCTCTATGAAATCTGATTTGTCACATAACTAATTAACAATTATCATTGTAACGATTGTTTTAAAGAGGTCCTTCACTCACATTTTAAATACATTTGCAGTTGTCTCTAGTAGGACTGAATACTGAATGCTGTGTAAGTCATACTCTAGCTCTGGTGTGCCTGTTTCAGCATGGAGAATTCAGTCAGAGCAAAAAAAAGCTTCAGACAACAGAATTTGAGTTTTATTTCCTGATATTTGGACATCTCTTCTCTGATTGGATAACAACAACATAGCTCTACCACTATTGATGTTTTATCTAATAGCTCAAGCCTGAAGGAGTTCTGCCATGTGGTGGAGTTGCTAATGCTAAGAGTTAGGTCCTACTAGTAAAGACGTTCTGTGCTGTTTCCTGGATGAATCTTAACTTGAATGAATCAGAGTGTTTAACTGGTAAATAATGGTAACTGGCCTGTGTTTGATGCCTCCCAAGGCACTTAACAACTAACCACTCATTCACCCATTCACAAATGGTGGTGATGTAGCCACAGCTGCCCTGGGGTGCACTGACAGAGGCAAAGCTGTCAAACACAGGCACAGCAGGTCCCTCCATCCAACCATTCATTCATCCACAATAATTGCAACAGATGGGATGCGAACCTGCAACACTCTGGTTACAAGGTGGGCATTGAACTCCTCTGCCACATATGGATTTTCCAACTCTCCATGCTGCCCCCATAAGTTACCTGGAACTAATGGCTACACGTTCTGGAACTCAAACAGTCCCCACCACCGCTACAGAATCGTCCCGTCTTGATCAAGACGCATACAGTAGAAAAACCAACTGTGCATGGGTATGAACCAACATAGGCACACAGCCTGATGATGCCAGCACACACCACCAACACAGTAGACAGCAGGATTTACTCTGAAGGGGAAATCCACTGAGTGGGGAATAGAGGCTCAACTCTGAAAGGGTTTGTGAGGTACAGGAGAAATTTGGCAAAGTGCAGAGTATTCTGTTCTGTTGAGTGAGAAACAAGGCCAAGCCATTAGGAGTGGATGCCCTGGTGCATCAGTGAGCAGATGCACTGCATGTATTCCCTCTGCTCAACCAGGGAACATCAGCTCAAAACAGAGTGAGTGAGCAGAGATTGTGAGTGATTATTATATCATGCTGGTACAAGTGTCACAGGCGTCTGGTCAGATCCCACCTCCTGAGTGGCTGGCTCACTGTGCTTGGTTCATGCAAGTCAAAGAAAGTCTGAAGTTTCTTTATTCTGCTTTGAACCTGGGGTTGTCCTGCAGAATCTGTTGGACTGTGTTTGGACTGCATGCTTTGGTAATGTGCTGGTTAGGCAGCATCCTCTAATTAGGAAGTTAATTAGGAAGGGCTTGTTGCCTGCTTCCAGTCGTGGATCTTCTCTTACTTGCATGGGATTTGCATGGAGGTCTGTTTTGTCTGTATTTGAGCCCATTTAGTGCATAGACATAACATCCCTAAAAAACATCCTGCTGCTGACACTAACATCAGTTAAAGGGTAGGTGAGTTGCATGGTCTGTTGGTTCATATTTCCAGTTGGCATATTTCCCCAGATGATATACCTGAACACTGCTCCTTCAACCTTGTTTTTGAGCCCAAGCTTAGTCCTCACACAAATGTTGCCCACTAGAGTTCCTGGTTTGTCATTCACTAGTTTGTGATGAGAGTGAAATCAGCTACATGTGGTACAGTAGGAGCTTTAAGCTTGTCCATGCAGGACAAAGGATTCCTGTGTGCTGGTCTCCAGGGGCCTCATTCATCAAACGTTTGTAGAAATATTCCTAAATTCGTTCTTATGAAAGAAGTTTAGAATGTTCGTATGATCAAAATCCTGATTTATGAAACATGCGGTGGCTTCTCGTACACGTTCCTCCACATTCATCTGAAGATAAATCCCACCTGTGTGTACCCAGGTGCTCGTGTCCATTCTTAGTCATTTACAGACGGAAACGCCCTCATTTAACCATATTTGGTCACGCTTCTTCCTCATCTCGTGAGGGGGTTCCTGCATTGTACCCGGAAGAAAAGAAAACTTGAGACACTTGCTGCCAAAGTGCCAAATAAGTTCCAGAGTTTATAAAGGTGGTTGGGACAGAGGAGAGGTTCCTGTCAGGAATAAATAAATAACTTTAATTTGGTAAATCGTAGAGTAACGGGTTCTCGTTTACATTTTACATTTAAGGAGTCATTCTGGATGGTGTTCGTTTTATTCGTAAATGTCTGAGTGCAGCCTCTATGCTGTCATCCAGTCTGGTTACCTTGACAACGCGTGTGTGATCGGGGAGGAGAGGAGGTTCTGGGGGGTTCTCGTCATCGTCGTCTCATCGTCGTCCTCCTCCGCTTATACGGGTCCGGGTCGCGGGGGCAGCATCCCAACTAGGGAGCTCCAGACCGTCCTCTCCCCGGCCTTGTCCACCAGCTCCTCCGGCAGGACCCCAAGGCGTTCCCGGACCAGATTGGAGATGCAACCTCTCCAACGTGTCCTGGGTCAACCCGGGGGCCTCCTGCCGGCAGGACATGCCCGAAACACCTCCCCGGGGAGGCGTCCAGGAGGCATCCTGACCAGATGCCCAAACAACCTCAACTGACTCCTTTCGATCCGGAGGAGCAGCGGTTCTACTCCGAGTCCCTCCTGAATGTCCGAGCTCCTCACCCTATCTGTACGGCTGAGCCCGGCCACCCTACGGAGGAAACTCATTTCGGCCGCTTGTATTCGCGATCTCGTTCTTTCGGTCATTACCCAAAGCTCATGGCCATAGGTGAGGATTGGGACGTAGATCGACCGGTAAATCGAGAGCCTGGCTTTCTGGCTCAGCTCCCCCTTCACCACGACAGATTGGTTCAGCGCCCGCATCACTGCAGACGCTGAACCAATCCGCCTGTCGATCTCCCGATCCCTACCCTCACTCGTGAACAAGACAAAATAGAATATGACCTGGAATCATATTTGTGAGGTTTATCTGTTTCTCCACAACAAATCCCAAATCCCAGCACAGCTCCAGGCGGATCTCCTGTCAGCGTGCTCACTTAACCGTATTTACTCCAGAGATGAGCTCTGACAAATCCTTAATAATAATCCAGAAACGTTCTTTTATCTAACGCGTCTCAAGCAGAATCACATCACAGCACAGATCTGTGCATAAGTACGGTTGGTAAATGAGGCCCCGAGGTCATACAGGGAAGCCGTTGTCTAGCCAGTGACTGTCATGTTGGACTGTAGAAGACTATGGAGGCCTACGTGTGCCAGGGACTGTCTCGGCATCCTCAGCCCAGTTTAGCCCAGTAACCCAGTCAGTCAGAGTGGTGTTGCTGCAGCAAATTAACCGACAACTCTAGAAGGTGTTTTATGAATATTGGCCATTTTACCATTTACTATCTGGGTCAGGGGACATGTGTACTTCTCAAAAACTTACTTTTCTTGTCTTTCCTGTCCTTTTTTCCCCTGTCATCCTTCTTCTTGTCCTTTTTGTCCTCACCATCCACATCACCATCATCACTGGAACCAATCAGAGCGAAGATAATTCCAGTCTGGGAGTTCACACCCACGGCGGTGACCAGCATCTTCCCAGAGCCCTCCATCACATGGGTTCCTGAGAGAGTGTGGTGAGAAACGTTACAGTTTTACCTTTAATAAAAACAGCACAGGTGCTCGTGCAGCCATTTGAGTTGTTTCAAAGACAAGAAGGTAAGATGAACCTCTTCTTTGGTCATTTCTCAATATGCACACTTGTCTTAACTTGCGTACCTGTGTACTCGTGTACTTGTGAAATGTTATTGACTGTATCAACGTTACCATCCTAAATACGTATCATTGTAAAGTTCCCAGATGTGTTCTGGCTCCGCCCATTGTGCTGAGGATGCAATAACACATCCTTCTGTGGGGCAGCAAGGTATCCCAAAATGCATTGCATCATAAACCACACATGCAAATAATTCAGTCTAGTAACTATGAACCTCTGTATGCTGAAGCCAGGCCATTTTCATAAAATCATATCTAAGTGTTTTTCAATTATTTGGTGTAAATTTTTTGTCTCATTTTCTTTATTTCTGGATTTTAAATGCAAGAATCCCTGTTTATTTTCTTACATGGTACATTTCATTTAAAATATTGCAAAATAAATCTTGCAATTTATTTAGTTCAATTCAGTTTATTTATAGATTCATAATGACAAGAGTCGTCTCAAGGCTCTTCACAAAATAAATATTCAAATTAAGTTCAGTTCATTAAGGTATCCTATATAAGGAACCATGGACGGAATTTTTTTGGGGGGGGTGGAGGGGGGGGGGGACATGCCCCCCCCCCCTTGCAAAGTCAAGTTTTGACCCCTGCACTTCTTACCATCCAAAAACAATATTACGCTATGTTAAATTAACACTGGTTGAGCTCTAGTACCAAGCGGAAGACAACCGTTTGTGTTGAAGCCTGTTTCCCATTAGAGCAAACTGTAAAGATACCCCCCCCCCAGTCCCCCCCCCCCACTTCTAAAGTGAAAATTACATCCATGTAGGGAACCCAGCAGGTTGCATCAAGTCACTGATTAGTGTCAGAGTCTTTACAACAGTCCTCATACTAAGCAAGCATGCAGCGACAGTGGAGAGGAAAACTCCCTTTTAACAGGAAGAAACCTCCAGAGAATCCCGGCTCAGTATAAGCAGCCATCCACCATGACTCACTGGGGATCGAGAAGACAGAGCAGACACACACGCACGCACGCACTCACACACACACACACACACACACACACACACACACACTCCCAAAGCATCAAAAACAGATGCTGGGTGACTAAGCGCTTTTTTTCCCAACGCGTTGCAAGCCATTTTCCGTCGCAAGCCGTTTTCCGACGCCTGTGGTAAAACCCACATTTCAAGAACATTTAACCTCTAACCTCTTGCTATTTAACCTTCCCCTCACCCCATCCTTAACCTTATTCTACACTTCCCGTTAACCATTGTTGGGTATTTTTTAAATCCTGAAACTTAACACTGAAAGGAACCCTGAATTGAAACACCACACAGGAGAGGAAGCCAGTAGGTTTTTATGCTTGGTACAGCTGGTGAGAGAGACAGGGCGGGAGCCTGTCAGGCCCTCATCCGATCAACTCTGGCCTCCCCTCTGCACCACAGCTGGTTTTATTGAATCACAGGCAGACAGAGACAAAGGACCATACATCACTGTCCACATTTAACGAATAACAAACACTGTTGTAGGGCTGAAATGATTCCTCGAGTACCTCGAATAATTCCAGTACAAAAAATCCTTGAGTCAAATTCTCCGCATCGAGGCTTCGTTTAATTCATGTTTAATTAATTCATGGCTTTGCAATCACCCGAGGTCATGTTTCACCCGGACCGAAATAAGTGACGCACATACATACTGCACTGAATGCACACGCGAGTAGCGAATGTAACAACTTTCTCTTAAGCCATGGCGGACAACGTGGACCCTAGTGGAGTGCGAAAAAGACAGGAAATGTCAAAGGTGTGGGAGCATTTTTCACGTCGTAAGGTGGAAAACGTAGTCCAGTGTAAATACTGTAAAATGGATGTAGCCTACCACAACACCACATCCTCGATGCTGCAGCACCTGACCAGGAAACATCCACATGTAAATGTCACTTCTGCAAGCGGACTCAGAGATCCGCTATATATTCTGCGGACACTGTGCAACTTTTACGTTTGTAGCACTCAGTTTCAGCTCACACTATGAGTCTGGTTGCACCATGTCGGTCTTAAAATGTGCTAAAAATAGCAGTTTTTATACAACACGTCAGACTTTTTATTGTGTTGTTATTGATGTCTGCTGTCCCTCGGGGTTGCTGCAGGAGGACACAGGTTTTTATGAGAGGAAACTGAAAGAAACTAAATAAATGTTCTGTGATCAGTGTAACTTGACAATCATGGCAAACATGCTTTCTAGACAATCCTTGTTATTGTGAGAAAAAAAGTGTAGAAATTAAAACGGACGTGTGTTAATAGGGAAATAGCTGGCGAGACATGTTTGCGCATGCGCCGTGAGCGGTTCTGGTGCTGTTTGGGCCGCAGCCGCTCGCATTTGTTTACTGTGAAGTAAAGTTGAAGTGCTAAAGTTTTGAAAACTAATTTTGAATAAAACTTGAAGAATAACTGGCAACTGCTTGCTCATTTCAAGAGGTCTTTCATATTTTATAACTTGCTATTTGATATAATGGTTAACAAACACAAAAGGGTCATTTATTAGAGTACTCTATTAATCAATAAAAGATTCGATAGAATACTCGATTAATCGATAAAAGATTCGAAAGAGTACTCGATTACAAAAATATTCGATAGCTGCAGCCCTACACTGTTGTTTCTATCTAAGGCGGGACCTTCTAAAAAGGAAGTCTCAAGTTGCAAGTGACTCATTAAGCCTGCTAGCTTTTCCTGTTGCCAAGCAGAGCCTTCCCAAAGGAAGTCTTAATTTATGACTGACAGCAAGAAACTCAGTAACCGTGGATACCTATTAGGCAGGCTATTTCACCAACCCCCACAACATACCAGACAAACATCAGGGCTTATCAGCCACATTCCACTGTAAGAGAGAAGGAGAAAGCCCTCTGTGGCTTACTTATTAACATATGACTACATAAGAAGGTACATTTAAGACGGTAATACATTAAAAATATCTAACAACCGTGTTGGAGAGGAATGTTACAACTTAGAACAAAGTTCTGAATGCGCAAGGTTAGGGTGGGGGTGAGGGGAAGGTTAAATAGCGAGACGGTAAAGGTCATAAATCGGTGAAACCCAGCATCATTTTTCAATGCATTGGGAGTGAAAATATGTTGCGCGCGTGCGCACGCACACACACACACACACACACACACACACACACACACACACACACACACACACACACCATATGTACCAAGCAGTTGGAACTCAGACTCAACCTCTAACGCATTAACGACAGGAAGTGATGTGTTTTATCTCTGTGGCTGAAGCTGTGTGGTGAGCTTAGGACCTATCGAACTTGACTGTGATCGAGAAAATAAATGATGCACCTGAAAGCAACATGGGGTCTTTGTCCAGACTCTTTTTCACATGGTCAGACTCTCCAGTCTGAGAGCTTTCATCAATCTTCAGGTCGTTGCCCTGAATCAGGATGCCGTCAGCCGGGAGGAGGTCACCTGGAACAGCAGCACAGCGGTTGGAACAGCATGCCCTCCTAACATTCTTATGTAACATCATAGTTACATCATCCAGCACTTCTAGCTAAGTAAAGTCACGCTGTGTCTCAGTCTAAGATGAAGACAAAATTAGATGGTGTCTCTTAAACAACACGATTGTTTAGAACTTGTATTGTTTACCTTCTTAAAGCTATTTGCGTTTCTTGCATTCTCCTTGTTTTCAGAAAGTTGTGACCGGCATTCACTAAAAAGTGAAAAGCTAAAGGTTGTTGAAGATCTGTTAAGGTCTATTTCTGGTGACAGGTCAATCACATGACCCAGACGAGGAAGGAGCATCTCAGGGCCCTTTCAGATCTGACACTAGCACCTTGGCTGATCTGATTTGAACGAACAGCAACAACCAGCCGTGAAAACAGATCAGACCGGACCAGCATCCCCTCATACTGGTGGAAACCTTACTCTGGATCAGTTAAAGCAGTAGAAGAAAACAACACTGTAGCTGTATCATAGGTAGATAGAACAGAAACGAAAGAAAAACAGAAAACCAGCTTGTATACAGGTAGCATTAGCATTATAACCATTTATAGCCATTTTAAACGTCAAGCTAAACAATTCAAAAATCAGTGAATGAGGGCTGCACAGTGATGCAGTGGTTAGCGCTGGTGCCTTGCAGCAAGGAGGTCCTGGGGTCACATCCCAGCCTGGGCCTCTCTGCATGGAGTCTGCATGTTCTCCCTGTGCATGCGTGGGTTCTCTCCGGGTTCTCCGGGTTCCTCCCACCGTCCAAAAACACGACTGTCTGATTAATTGGTCTCTCTAAATTGTCCTTAGGTGCGAGTGTGTGTGTGATAATCGTTTGTCCTGTGTGTCGCTGTGTTGTCCTGCGATGGACTGGAAACCTGTCCAGGGTTTACCCCGCCTGTCCGGAGCTTGCTGGAGATAGGCACCAGCCCCCCGAAGACCCTGCGTGGATAAGCGGGTAAAGAAAATAGATGGATGGATCAGTTATAGACAAAAAATAGTTTATCAATTCTTAAATTGTAAAACGATCCATTGTCAGTACTGATACCGGATGAAGGCAGAGGAGTTAAGTGCCTCTCCGGTAACTGGAGGGTTGGAGGTTTAAGCAACGTCTGTAACAGTCGTGTTCTTGAACAACCTTAACCCGCCTTCCTGCTGGTGGTGATCGAAGGGGCTGGTGGTAACAGTGCTGCTTCTCTGTCAGTGCACCCCAGGGCACCACCAGTGTGTGAATGTGTGTATGAATGCATGAATGATACACCGTAGTGTAAAGCTCTTTGGAGTCCTCTGACTCTGAAAGGCGCCACACAAGTGTGGGTCACTTATTAAATGATCTGTGAACAACATTTATGCACCTTTATGATATTCTTATGTGCAAGCTAGCTGGGCATCCCACAAAACATGCGATGTGGACCATCATCAAGGCAAGGCAGCTTGATTTATAGAGCACATATCAAACATAGAGGCAATTCAGTGTGCTTCACAATTCAAGGAATGTTTTTCAGCAAAGATGTCAAAGATTTGGGGAATTATTGCCACTTACAGGCTTGGCATGCCTATGAATGTGCTTCACAATCTACTGGTGCTTAGCTGAAAAGGAGGTCGTGTGGACCCAAGTTTTTTTTTAGATGAGCGGGGGATGACGTTTGGTTTCAGAAAAAGTCAGCTACGTGTGTACATGGTCTTAGTATCCATGAGCACGAAGGCTCAACTGGGCGTTTGGGCGCTTGATGGAAGAGGTGCAGTTAAATGTTAGTGTTAGTTTCTCTCATGTTTAGCCTTCCGTGGCAAGTGAGCGCTATTTTGATTCTGCTGCAAGATTTCGTGAACAGCGCCTTTCAATCCCAACCTCACTCCACCGTCATCCTCATTCCAGCCTCCTGACATGCACAGGTGGAAATGCAGACATAAACGACCATGCACACCAAAGCTGACTCACCCTCTCACCGAAAGTGCCAGTGCACAAAAATCGATGACTTCAAAGCGTACTAGTTATGCTCCTATGTTCCAGCCCCTAATCGTTCCAATGACATGATTACACCCATGCAGAAAACACGCCTGGAGAAAGTTGATAAGATAGAGAAACACTTTTATCGGCAGCATTGCAACATGTAGGAATGTGCCGTAGTTCCATGATTTGGTGTTGCTGAGGATTTTTAATTCTGGAGGTGAAATGCCAGCATGAGAGGTGTTCTTCCATCGGTGAGCGACGTTCAGCCAGAAGGGCTGGTGTGCAAGAAGTAAAAGATCATTTCTTCTTCTTCTCACCATATTTGATTTGTGCGATGTCTCCAACAACTATCTCAGACACTTTGATCTGGACCACCTGACCCCCTCGGACCACAGTGAACTTCTGCTCCTGCTCGATGCGGCTCTGAAGACCTCTGAACTGCTTCTCCTTGCTCCAGTCGTTAAAGGCTGTCACAAGCACCACACACACCACCGAGAGGAGGATGGCAGCGCTCTCAATCCATCCGGTCTCTGTCTCGCCCTCCTCCTCCACGCCACCCACTGATGTGCTGCAGCCTGAGCAGAAACGACAACCACATTAACACCTTTGACAGCCCTTCCTTTCAGCATGGAGACCCATTTTGTAGCTGTCTAAGTTTAGTTAAAGGTTTTCTGTGGCACCATTTCTTATCTGATGATAAGGTTTACACACAAAGTTAAATGGATGATAACAAACAGAAAACTTTGAGAAGAGATGCACAGTGTTGTTGAAATAAAATTCATGTCCTATGAGTATTACATCATAGTACCTCGTACTTTTGTGTTTCATCATCTCAAAAATGGCGGTATGTGAAAAATATCCTCACAACCAAACTACCATAAAAGGAAATAAAAACATTTTGGGAGGATGACCAAGGATTAAACTCTAGAAATGAACAAATATCACAATTTTTAGTGACTCCAACAAATCTGTGAATTCCCTTATCTAACTTTGGGAATGCATGAGGTATTACTGCATCTCTGAATTTTGGACTTCAGTTACAGGATGTTGTCATGTCAGGTCTTTAGCCGGCTGTCCATATAAGTAGAGCACCTATGGTGAGGGCAGCACATGCACCCTAGAAGAGATACTCACTCTGCTTTTCGACCGGCGGACTGTAGAAAGAAAGGCCAAGAGAAATAATGGCTGCCACCTCAAGGATGATGAGTGTGGCATCCTGCAAGGCCTCCCAAACTAACTGCAAAAAGGTTTTTGGCTTTTTAGGAGGGATGACATTCTGTCCGAACTCTTCTTTTCTTTTGGCGATGTCTTCTGGGTTTCCATCCAGACCTGCAGCAATACACACAGACACAATCGGAGTCACACCAAAGCCTGACAAAATAAGGTCAAAAAGGAGCTAGCCTAATGCGCATTTTGCTGATGGCTAACGTGTTCAGTTTTACACTCCTCATAAAACTCACCTTAAACATCCCATTTGTCCATCAGACAGTCCTCTGAGATGTGTCTACCCGTTTAAAGCCCTTGAGACCTAGCTGATGAGTTAAGGACCATATTCACTCTTGGGTTCACCTGAACCTCAGTGTTGAACAACTGTGTCATAATTCTGCCAGGTCCTGATCTTCATGCTACCACTTCATCAGCCTTCCTGCATCCCACCTGGTCCCCTCATCAAGCTCATGCCACACCTGCCTCACCAGCTATATATTCCTCAGTTCACCACCAGCACCCTGCCAGATTATTGAACGCTCCTGCTAGTAAATCGTCCAGCCTTTTTCATCCTGCCTGATCATAGCCTCCTGACCTCATTTTCACGCCTGACCCTCACCAAGAACTCTGCCTGCCTCCTGGCAGACCAGGGTGGTGGTCCCCCTATTTAAACAAGGGTACCACAGGATGTGTTCCAACTACAGGGGCATCACACTCCTGAGCCTCCCTGGTAAGGTCTGTTCAGGGATTCTGGAGAGGAGGGTCAGTCAGATGGTCAAACCTCAGATTCAGAAGGAACAGTGTTCGTCCTGGCCTTGGAACACTCAGACCTGCCAACCTGTACGCATTTTGCGTAGCCAGTACGCAATTTGGCATCTACTTACGCTGGTACGACTCACCCCTCTAAACTACGCAAAAAGCTGCGGATACATGGGTTGAGTTCTGCGGCAAATATGCACATGTGGTACTCATAACTGACAACATGACTCAGCAGCGCGATGAAGAAGCCAGTCATCGTAGAAAGGCAGAGAAAAACTATCCTGCCTAACCTATAGTGTAACACCCCCGCCCCCCTCCTCCCTGCTTCATCCTGCCCACTGCTCCCTCCGGTTCGCCACTCGCTGCTCTTCTGGTAAGGTAAACTATGTGTGTGTGTGTGTGTGTGTGTGTGTGTGTGTGTGTGTGTGTGTGTGTGTGTGTGTGTGTGTGTGTGTGTGTGTGTGTGTGTGTGTGTGTGTGTGTGTGTGTGTGTGTAAAATTTTCCATTCTGTGAATGAGGAGATTACAGCGTGAAAAGCAATGGAGTTGCAAAAGTGTGGGAAAAAATGCAGACAAGTGGTACTCAAAACATTTTGACAAGGTTGGCAGGTCTGAACACTGGACCAGCTCTATACCCTTAGGTGGTCCTGTAGAGCGCGTGCGACTTCGCACAACCAATCTACATTTGTTTAGTGAATTTGGAGAAGGTGTTCAGCCACGTCCTTCAGGGTGCCCCGTGGGGGGAACTGATGATTTTAGCAGTTGAGGCCCATGTATTTGGTAACTGGGCCTTCAGTCCTGGTTAACTGACCTAATATAATGTTGCAACAGTGGCGGATTGCCCAGCTGTGAATTTTGGAGAATCCCAGAACAGCCGGTGTTGGCCTTCCTCCACCCTACCTATTGGAGATCCGCCAGGCTGCTGAAACGTCCATCCTCCCACACAGTGCTTTAGGGGCATAGGCTGAAGTTTAACTTTAGCCTACCCAATGCAGACCCAGTTTGATTAAGAAATACTGCAACTACTGACAAAAAGAGCAATGAAGTGCAAACATCTCCAATAGAAATGAATATTTTAACCTCCACAACCTGCTGCATAATGAAGACAGTCAAATGTGTGTCTTACACTCCTGTGTGAGAATTTGATCAAATGTAAATCCACTTCAGATTTGATTCGCTTGTAAAACAAGTTTTTTGGCGAATGAGTTCCACCGAGAAAGGTTTATTACTGGTCGGCATGAACTGCAAGTTTGTTTATTAATAGACGATAATAGTAAACAAACTCTGGATATTTCTTGTGCACTGTGAAACCTGTAGCGTGGTTAAACTACATACTAGAATTAACGCTGTTTGCTATCAGCTTTGTTAGATTCTGAAGAGATCAAACGAGTTAGCAAATGAAGCTTCTATCATATATAAATATCTAGGATATTGATATATTCGATAGAAGTTCATACACCAACGAGCTTGGTCTATATTTAATCCAAAGATTAATGTTTGATTTAAGATAATTAAATTTAATAGCAAAAGTTTATTTATTGAATCAGAAAGTAGGAATCTTTGCTTATTCAATAACCAAATATATACACCATTCTGTTTTTCATTTCAAAGAAGTCAAGTTTTTAAAGTTAAGAATTTATTACTAACACTTTTAAAAATGACAATTTAGAAATGACAATTTTTAACAGACATTTTGAAACAGCTTGATATTAAAACTTGTAATTGAAAGCTTTACCTGTGTCTGAATGAAAAGCTAAAATGAAATGCGAGGTTTTGGATGCGTGAATGAATCTCAGAAGGTTTCTTTCAGAGAGAGAAGCGCGTTCTGGATGGAAAACGTTTTGCAGCTAACTCAGTTGTTTAAGAGCCTCGTGATCTTTATCTTGAGAGGCGCTATAGAAATGATATTTTCTTTCTTCTTTATTAGAGAAAACAGCATCGGACACCATCTGTGTGCTACCTCACCCAGCAAGACGACCCTCTGTGTGGATCCGAAGGTCAAAGGAGGGTGTTGTCAGCCTCAGGGTACTCGGTTCGGTAGAGAAGACTCGAGTGGAACCGACTCTCTGGTCCAGAGATGTCGCAGGGTACACGGTGTCGAGTTTGCGTCTGGCTTAACTCTGAAGGAGTTTTGCGTCAGCTGGTTACAGGTGTGTTTATTTGAAGCAGGGACGAAATTTTGATTTCAGAAGTGGGGGGGACACAGCAGGCTTGTGCGGATTTGGGGTGGGGGGTGTTATGTAAAGACCCCTTGACACGTCACGTGCCCATCTCAATAATTTTCCATCCTCTCTCTCTCTCTCTCTCTCTCTCTCTCTCTCTCTCTCTCTATATATATATATATATATATATATATATATATCAAAGTTAAAAAATGTACAACTCTATTATTATTTTTATTTATTATCATTATTGAAGTGCAGTTTTGGCTGTTGACAATGGATAGGCCATTGTATTTATTGTTTTGGGTCTTTTTTTATTGTTTTTGGTGCAACATTTTCTAACAGGGAGTGAGATTCCTTTTTTATTTAATTTTTGTTTGTTATTTTTATTCATTTAGAAGTTCTGGTTCTGGACATTTCAATGTTAAATGAAGGTTTATTTGTTGCATTTTAAAGGGTGTACTTGCATTATTATGATATATTAACATTATATTAGTGGTTATTTTGGTCTAGATAATGTTGACAATGATATCGTTTATCATCAACAATTTGTTGGACAAAATATCGTCCAGCAAAATTTGTTACTTTCCCAGGCCTAGTCAAAAGTATAAAAATTATTTATACATAAACGGTCCCTCCTGAGATCTGGCCGTTTGTTCTTTTGCTGTGTTAGAGGACATACTGAACTAATGTTTTACACATGATCATCACCCTAACATTTGAGTGTATAAAAACATATTAAATATGTTTTTCCCTTAAAAGTGTTTAAACAGTTGTTGCATTTCAACACACAAAAAATAAATGGAAAAAATAAGATAAATCTAATGAAAAGTGTACATCTTTGACATTAAGCTTAAAAAAATCTGTTGACGATGATACTGTTCATTTTTCAGAGCTTTTTAATGTGAACATATACATTGCAATAGATAAGTTTACAATAAAGTTAAATGATAAAAGTTTTGAAGTTACACTTCTACCACTACTACTAGTAATAATAATTATGATGATAATAGTAATAATAATAAAACAATAATTATAATAATACGAATAAATTGTGTCTGAGGAGTCAGTTATGTGGAGGAGATGAGTTTGTAAAAGTTAGTTTTGAGTATGTGTGTGAAGGAGGAGGTGAGTCTGAGCTTAATGCAGGGGTGTCACATGTTCCAACTTACGTTTTGACTTTGAAAGAAGTCTCTTATATCCACTTTTCGTTTTCTTGACATGCTGCCTCCTGGCTGTGCCTAACTACCAAAGACTCACAAATGAACACTTATTCACATGTTATGTAATGGAAGCTGAGCTGAGCTCTGATATTACACAGCGTCTAGTTGACGATGTGACTCAGTACCGGTGTTCCCTAGCGGCTCCAAACTAGCAAAACAACGTGAGCACGTTCTGACTGTTTACAACTTGAGTGACAGCAGCAACAGCCAATAATACGTTAGCAAGTATCAGCAGAGCCAATAGATTAGCTTTTGGGCGGGTCTAATAGGAAACCGGTTTCCGTTTCGGTCCTAGTGCTCAACCAAATCCATTTAATGGAGCGTAATATTGTTTTAGGACGGAAAAAAGTGCAGGGGACCAAAACTGCCTTTAGAAAAAGTGGGGGGGACATGTCCCACCCGTCCCCCCCCAAAATTACGTCCCAGATTTGAAGCAAGACTATCGGCGTGACAGAATGCTTAGTAGAGACTTGGGCGGCTGTCCCTCGTCTCCTGGTATGGTTCAAGAACTGGCTTTCAACTGCGGGAGATTTGGTTTTAACAAAACCTCAGAACACGCCCTCTCAGCATTGGAAAGCTTGTTGTCATGAAGTAAAGAACATGCGTGGTGGTTAAACTTTACCCTGGATTCACCCTCTGCGTGAGGTGGTTAAAGTGCAAGATGACCTTCTGGTTTACTGAACACACATTACTTGATTATTATTATTACCCAAAGCATAATAAGTCATTTCAGTAATTAAAATACATTTATACTGAACCAAGAGATTATTTATGATGGTTGTAATAAACAGTAATAAAGTCAAATAGTTTATTAAAATTATTATTTAAAATTATTATTGTAAAATCTTGAAGTGACCTTCATCTTTGGACGGAACAGCAGCAGATAAAGATGTTGTTTCAGCGGACATCACGGCTCCTGAGGGGTTAATCTGTGGGGCAAAGTTACAGTTCGACTCAGCTTGACCCAGCTGGGAAAATG